TCTTTTAAGGAGGTTCCCTTTGCTAAGCACCGTGGTGACTGGTGACAACCCTGAGGTTGCCATTGCTCTTATCATTCACACCACAAGACTTGAAGCTTGGAGCATGATTGAATGGTGGTCTCGGTTGGTGGATTCCCAGGTTTGTTGATTTCCAGACACCTTCCCGACATCCAAAAGCATGGGGCAAACCCCGAGTCAAAAGGTCACTTGTTGGTTTAGCAAAAAGATGTGGGAAAAATGGTGATATCATTGGATCTGGAAAATTCGTAAGACATTTACCCTCTGGTCGTTTGCTACATAGCTATTGAAAATGGCCCATTTGTAGTTGATTTACCTATTCAATATTGTGATATTCCATCGCTTTTGTATGTTTACCAGAGGCTAATTGTCCAGTGGTTCACGTCATCCTACTACTTTCTGCATAAAAAAACAATGTGTTTTTTTTCAGGGACCTGAAGAAAACCGATTTGTTTGAAGATCGGATATCCCATTCCATCCACAGTTTAATCATCATGTTCTCTCGTCAAATTACCATATTGGTAATATGATATTAATATTAAGCAATTTCAGACAAACCCAAATTTGGTGATATATCCCATTGTATCCCCACTATAGTTAAATCCACCATTCTATCTATCCATTCTTCACATTATTGTTGGTCATATATCCCATTATATTCCCATTAAATTCCCACTAATATAACTAACATATCCTGTAATATTGGTTTGTCTCACAGGATCTATCCATTAATCATGACATCCCCAGAAGATCTCATGTTTTTTCCTAGGCTTAAACCATGTTATCCCCAGAAGATACCGCTTAAATTTCTTGGTTCAACCCCCCCAAGGGACCGTCCTGCAGCGCCCGGCTGGGTCTTGCACGGTATTGCAGCCGTTGAGTTAGCCTGCGACAGGAGATGCGAAGCTCCGGCGAAACCGCCGACGAGAGCATTAAGTCATTGGATCCCTGGAGTTGGTTTCCCCCAAAGCAGAGCTAAGTTGGCTTACAAAAAATCCCATCCTATTAAGCACCTGGCTGTATGGTCCCAATGGAATGTGGAAATCCCGGACAAAAAAACATGGTTTCGTTTGGGGGTGTTTTTCATATTAGGGAGAAGAGATTAACTTCTTTACACTTTGGTTGTTGGGGGATATAAATTAGTGAATGGGGCTTTAAAAACCAACTTATCATTGGGGGGCATCACCTTGTATGTAGTAGACGGATAATACATGTTTACTCCCTATATTGATTAACCACTAAATAACTCTTTCTCAGTTGTATTATCATATCATATTCCCAGATTCATCTTGGTTAGAACCGATATTTGATGCCTAAATCTCCATTCAATAACCAACCAGGATACGTTGAATGGCTCAAATAAGAATACCCTCTGGTAATTTACCATGCCATAGCTATTGAAAATGGTTGCATAATTCTCTATATTACAAACTGCTTATCCATTGGATATACCCTGGTTGGTGGTTGAGCCCTACCCCTCTGATAAATGATGGAGTGAAAGGATGATTAAATTCCCAACTGAATGGAAAGTCATAAAATTCCATGGTTCCAGTCACCACCAACCAGGAATAACCCTCATCATCTCACCTCCAGAGTTGACACGACTTCTCATCCTCGCCCAATGCCGACGATGTGCTCACGCCTGCGGCCATGGGGAACCGGAGAGATGTCTGTGGAAATCCAAGGAAAAAGGTAGGGAAATGAGCGGGAAAAATATGAAACAAATCTGGATATGCTCCAATAACTTGGGTTGAGGGATACAACGAACTAGTTCATGGGGGTTATAAACCAACTGAATTATAATGGGGGCACCACCTTGTATGGTAAATGAGGGGAAAAATCAGAGTCAACCAGTCAAGTTAGAATGGAATTCAATGGAAAAACATGAAAGTCAACACTTGAAGTTTATTGAAATGAGTGGGAAAATATGGGAAACAAAACTCAACTTACTGGCTTGATGGAAATGATAAAACATCAAATGTGGAATATGAGCTTACAATGCAACATCGTCTATCGAGACTCAACCTTCTGTGGAAACAAAGTATTTGGATGTGCTGACTGAGACCGGGGATATTCACTGGCTATATCTGACTACACAATCACTTCACAGAATTCTTCAGTTGCTTCATCTACACCAGCTGTAAAAAAATGCACGGTATACAGCTCAAACAGCAGAGAAACAAACCATTATCCTTCATTCGTCATGTCTCAAAGATTGGGCACCCGAACTATGTGGGTTTGCAGGAAAATAGGGGACCCCACTCCACTGGTTCATCATTTGCCATGTTAAATTGACCAATGTTGGAGTATATTCCATGTTCCAAATTCTTCTGGGAAAATCCCATAAAATCCAGACATGCCCACGTGTTAAAACCGCGTTTTCCCTATCTGCTGAACGCCGCAGTTTTGCACAGCGCCACCTGCTAAACCAGAGCTGCTGAGCGCCAGCATGGTCGAGGAGGTGCTTGCGATATGGGTCAACCTGAGGCTGGGGAAAAGTGAAAAGAAAATTATCTTACACATGTGTATATATATATATGTACTTGAACATATTAGAACATATCAGAATAGATTAGAATATATTTGAATTATATGGATAAGTTTAAATCTGATGTTGCATGATTTTCTCCGTTGCAAGGGTTTTTGAATGTGTTTTATTTCATCTTGACCGAGTTGGAAGTACGATTTTAGCCCAGCTGTGTCAGACGTGGATCGGACGTGGGGTTCCTTCCAAGTCTAACATCAATGAATGGGGGTCAAGATGAATATGGGCCAAGAACCTGGAAATTTAGTGATCGAAGATAGATGGTCAATGAATACTACCCTCTGGTAAACTAACATAACTATGGAAAATCACCATTTTTAATAGGTATATAAGTTCACTATAAATGGCCATTTTCAATAGCTATGTTAGTTTACCAGAGGGTAACGACTAATCCCTTCCATCTTGTTTCATAGGTGTTGATCCAAACCTGGCTGACTTGACAAGAAACAGTTTCGATTCATGACATGATTCATTCAGTTTGCGCAGTGGTGAAATGAATTGCCATGATATATTTAAAAAACGTTGAGGTGATACAGTCAGTGATACATCGAGAAAATGCATGGAAACCTTCAACTCAACAATGCCAAGGATTTCTGAAATTCACGGACCCACCTTTGGAAGATTGAGATGAGACCAACCGTGACCAACCCATGCGATTCATGAAAGTCATGCTCGTTTCAACCAATGGTTCTAGAACTGGCGGTTTGGGGGGCCGTGGTTTGGAATTCTGGGCCAATTCTGGGGACACCCCAACCAATAGGTCATGACAATCGCTTGGTGGAATCCTAAGATTTCACAGCACCAAACCCACCACCACTGGGCTGCATCTGCAGCTGGGTTGGGATATTCTTGGCTGGGGGTTGCAAGACTAGGCACATGGAGGACGATGAAGGCGTAGCCAGCTGGCCCTACTAGTTTAGCCTCCACAAACAACCTTCTGGGGTCAGCATGTTGGACTGTGAAGGTGGCCTTACCAAGCACTATGGGCTGGCCCGCAGCATGAGTGGCCACTGGCAGCGTCTTGTGCACCCATAGCTCACATCCATACAGTGGGGATCGTTTGTGTTTGGCCCCAGATGCAAAGATGTGGTAGTGGGGCGCTTGGAATCGACCTTGCGCTGTCCTGGCTTCCTGGATTCCAACTACATGGATACTGGCCTGGTGCCACTGTTGATCCAGTCGCAATGTACGTTGTCCTGTCCTCTTGGAGCCAATGGATTGCGACAACCATACTTCTGTTGCCAAGACATTGGCTGTGCATACTTGCAATTGCCACTGGGACCCTGTAAGAGCTGCTTGCATGGGACGCCGCCCAATGGGCGTGATGCCAATCTGCTTGCTGGGCAGGGAAAATTGCATGACCTGTTGCTGGATCAGTGGTGGAAAGCAAGATGCTATGGCCGGGTGTGTCGTCTGCATCCAAGCCCAGTTCACATCAACCATCAATAAACCGTTGCTTCATCTACAACTATACATAGAACAAGAACAACAAGAACAACAAGAACAACAAGAAAAAACAAAAGAACAAGAAGAACAAGAAGAACAAGAACAAGAACAATAACAAGAACAACAAGAACAACAAGAACACCAAGAACAACAAGAACAACAAGAACAACAAGAACAACAAGGAACAACAAGAACAACAAGAACAAGAACAAGAACAACAACGACAACAACGACAACAACAAGAACAACAAGAACAACAAGAACAACAAGAACAAAAGAGCAACAAGAACAAAAAGAACAAAAATAACAAGAACAAAAAGAACAAGAAGAACAATAACAAGAACAACAAGAACAACAAGAACAACAAGAACAACAAGAACAACAAGAACAACAAGAACAACAAGAACAAGAACAATAAGAACAACAAGAAGAACAACAAGAACAAGAACAAGAAGAACAAGAACAAGAAGAACAAGAACAAGAACAACAATAACAACAAGAACAAGAACAAAAATAACAAGAAGAACAAGAACAATAACAACAAGAACGAGAAGAACGAGAAAAACAAGAACAAAAACAAGAACAACAAGAACAAAAAAAACAAGAATAACAAGAACAAGAAGAACAATAACAAGAACAACAAGAACAACAAGAACAACAAGAACAAAAAGAACAAGAGCAACAAGAACACCAATAAGAACAACAAAACCAAGAACAAGAACAACAAGAACAACAAGAACAAAAAGAACAATAATAACAAGAACAAGAACAACAAGAAGAACAATAACAAAAAGAACAAGAAGAACAAGAACAAGAACAAGAAGAACAATAACAAGAACAACAAGAACAAAAAGAACAAGAAGAACAAGAAGAACAATAAGAACAATAACAATAACAACAAGAACAACAAGAACAACAATAACAAGAACAACAATAACAACAAGAACAAAAATAACAAGAAGAACAAGAACAAGAACAAGAAGAACAATAACAAGAACAAAAAGAACAACAAGAACAACAAGAACAAAAAGAACAAGAACAACAAAAACACCAATAAGAACAACAAAACCAAGAACAAGAACAACAAGACCAACAAGAACAAAAAGAACAAGAAGGACAAGAACAAGAACAATAATAACAATAACAAGAACAACAAGAACAAAAAGAACAAGAATAACAATAACAAGAACAACAAGAACAACAAGAACAACAAGAACAAGAACAATAAGAACAACAATAAGAACATCAAGAACAAGAACAAGAACAACAAGAACAAGAAGAACAATAACAAGAACAACAATAACAACAAGAACAAAAATAACCAGAAGAACAAGAACAAGAACAATAACAAGAACAACAAGAACAACAAGAACAACAAGAACAAGAACAATGAGAACAAGAACGAGAAGAACGAGAAGAACAAGAACAATAACAAAAAGAACAATAACAAGAAGAACAACAAGAACAAGAACAACAAGAACAAGAACAATAAGAACAACAATAAGAACAACAAGAACAACAAGAACAACAAGAACAAGAAGAATAAGAACAACAAGAACAAGAACAAGAACAACAAGAACAAGAACAACAAGAACAAGAAGAACAATAACAAGAACAACAAGAACAAGAACAAGAACAAGAAGAACAATAACAAGAACAACAAGAACAACAAGAACAACAAGAACAACAAGAACAACAAGAACAACAAGAACAACAAGAACAAGAACAATACAAACAACAATAAGAACAACAAGAACAAGAACAAGAGGAACAGGAACAAAAAGAACAAGAAGAACAAGAACAAGAACAATAAGAACAATAACAAGAACAACAAGAACAACAAGAACAAGAACAATAAGAACAACAATAAGAAGAACAAAAACAACAAGAACAAAAAGAACAACAATAACAAAAAGAACAAGAAGAACAAGAACAAGAACAAGAAGAACAATAACAAGAACAACAAGAACAAAAAGAACAAGAAGAACAATAAGAACAATAACAAGAACAACAAGAACAACAAGAACAACAATAACAAGAACAACAAGAACAACAAAGAACAACAAGAACAACAAGAACAAAAAGAACAAGAATAACAAGAACAACAAGAACAACAAGAACAACAAGAACAAGAAGAATAAGAACAACAATAAGAACAACAAGAACAAGAACAAAAACAACAAGAACAAAAAGAACAAGAAAACCAAGAACAAGAACAAGAACAAGAACAACAAGAACAACAAGAAGAACAAGAACAAGAAGAACAAGAACAATAACAAGAACAACAATAACAAGAACAACAAGAACAACAAGAAGAACAAGAAGAACAAGAACAAGAACAAGAACAACAATAACAAGAACAACAAGAACAAAAAGAACAAGAAGAACAAGAACAATAACAAGAACAATAATAAGAACAATAACAAGAACAACAAGAACAACAAGAACAACAAGAACAAGAACAATAAGAACAACAACAACAACAATACCAACAACAATATGATGGGAATTGTCCAGCCATCCCCACAACCAAGTTCACATATCCTGGAGCCAGAGTATACCCTAACAGTCCATCAATCCATCACTCGTTCTTGCCCCAACCCTTCCACAGCATCGCCATAAACAAAGCGCTACACCCAAGAAAGGTTGTTTGACATCCCTCAAACTGGCCACAAACTGGTCAAAAACATCAAAGAACTACTCGAGGCATGACATATTCCATGAACAGTTGCTCAACGCAAAAACCTTCGCTTCCTGCTACTGCCGAATCAGAATCGGGGTCCAAACACTGAGGTCGGCCAAAGAAATCGCGCACGATGACAGCTGTCACTCACCACCATTCCCAGTTTCAATAAAATGCCGTGGAACAAGGGATCCTCTCCCGCCAGGATGGCATTCAGCTCTTGTTTGAAGCCCAATGCTTTCACCTCAGGTCACACGATGTCACAGGTGTTGCGCAGCTGTCACAAAACCATGTTTGAAGAGAAGCATTGAGGTCGTGTTCACCATCCAAAAAATGGCTTGTCTTACGATGAATTCGAGTTTTTGTCCCATTTTTTCCATTTTTTTTGTTTGGAAACCATGACGTAACAGGGGAAACAGTAGGTATTCACCATCAAATAATCAAATAAAATCAAGGTTGCTTTCTCTACTAAAATTGGGTGTCCAAATACCTTAAATGGAAAATCCTCATCTTCCTGAAAAGCTGAACGGAGCTTTTTGTGTCCACTAAAATGGTCATGTTTGGGTACGGGTATACCCCCACTAGTCCCATAGGATCCCATCGATGGTTAATATAGGATGTCTTCAGGGGCCTCGAAAAATAATACCCTCTGCTTATTTAACAGTTTGCTATGGACAATGGCCCATTTATGGATGATTCATGATGATTTGCCGAACTTAAAATTGTGTTTTTCCATGGCTACGTTAAATAACCAGAGGGTACAATTATTCTATATAGTCTATATACCCTCTAGTAAACGAACATAGAC